TCCCCATAATAAGAATCTGTGGTCATTGCCCGTTTCTGCTTTTTGTTCATGGTGTTTGCCTATTTCCTGACTTAAAAAAAAAAAAAGTTGAGTTCTCCTGCTGGAGCAAAGGGGGCACCTACCCAAGCCTGTTTTCCTGCTCTCCTGGGCCTTGTACTTAAGTGTTTGGCTCCTACTCACCCAGGCCTTGCACAGGGATGTTTTGCTGCTGGTGAATATCTGTAAGCCTGGAGCTTTGCCTCCTGGAGTTGCGCTTCCCAGAGTTGTGCTGAGGCACTGGGTGATTTGGCTGCTGGAGAAAACCGTTGCCTGTGGTGGTTTTCCAAACTGGTGTCTACTGCTTCGCCTGCCTGTATTGAAGCTCTCAGGGGGTCCTGGTGTTGGCATTTGCCTGCTCCACCAACCTGGGTCTCAAGTTCTCCCCCCGGTATGTTGAGGTGGAACTTGCCACAGGCTTGCTGGAATGCCTCCCATCCTGTACTGCTTCCCCTCCCCCAGAACGAGAGGGGCCTTTTCCATTAATCCCCCAAGCTTCCTGGGCTACAAGACTGCTGCGCCCTTTCTTTTTGTTGGCTCAGGATTTTTCCTGGGTCAATATTTTCTGGGCTTGCAGAGGTCAGTAAGGGGAGGGTAAGAGTGACTTATTTCTTACTCCACCATGTTGGCTCCCAGAAGTGGAACCAAGAAGTAACTTTTCTAATGTCACACAGGTAACCAATGACACAGGTAGGATTAGATCCCAGGTCTCTTGGTTTTTAGTGTACTGCTTTCTCCTATACTATGCTTTATGCAGGTGTTATCCTCTTAGACAAAAATGATGCTACTAATCCATTGAAAGCAAGTACTATGTCATTTGTCTTGACATTCCTAGTGCCTCAAAAAGTGCTTTCTAGCTAATTGTTTTAGGTGTTTAATAAATGTTTGTTGAAAAAATCTGGGGTAGAGGACCATAAGCTTGAGAGGTCTGTCCCTTACAATACAAACTTCATTTACAACCACCTACATTTTCTAACCTACTTCCCTTCCTCATTTGTGTCCAGGGGTGCATATTGGGAAGCCAGGGTTAGGGGTCCTGGCCATGACTGTGAAGTAGAAGCAAGCTGATACACTCAAAGATGAACCATTGGATCCACCTTTCTTAGTGGACATTTGACTATCCAACCACAAATAATTCAATGTACATAAAACAACATGGCACTCTAGAACATAGATTCGGAGAGTCCTACATTCAGGCTTAGAGGCTAAGTATCTCACATAAAATCAGTGATTCAACATCATATTCTCCCTTTCTCTTTCTGTGGCAACCTTTCTACACTAAAGAAGAATGACTTCCTAGAAGGTATAGAATAGCAAAAGGCAGAATGGTGGAATTTAATATTTTCCACTGTCTCAACAAATAGCTTTTCTGTGTTTTTTTTTATACTTATCTTTATGAATAGAAGCTATTGCTAAAGTCCTGTTCTAATATCTCATTGTGACAGGAAGTGGCCCAGAGTTTACAAAGGCTATGCTATTGAGGTATAAGCTTCAGCAAGTCCTTTCAAGCCAGAAAGACTTTGCGTATGGGCCTAATGAGGACAATGTGTCTGTCATCTGAGGACCAGGTTTGGAGAGGCTCAGCACCAGGAGGGTGCCCATTAGGTTATTATTTTTAAACCACTGCAGTTCATGAAGGTCATATCTCAACTAAGGCTTTAAGGGAGTTATCTCCATTAGTGGCAGTAATGGAGTGCCCAAAATTAATCCATGGGGGCTGATCTTTTGAGGTAACAGAGTATAAATAGGGAATACAAGCCTTACCCATCTCCATATACAGATATGAGGACAAGTGCAAAGGCTTAGTCAACAGCTCGCTGTGTTTATTTTTAGGGATAGTTCACCTGGTGTCTGCTAGCTAGACCATGAAATTCCTGTTGAAGACGAGCTGTTGACTGCTGTATTGTTGGGATGTTCTTTTGTTGTGTCAAAAAAAGTTTTCTCTCCTGATGAGCCACTCCATACATGTTTTGTTGGTATTTAAGTTCCGCCTGAATGTGATAAAGAAGGATGAAACAGGCATTAGTACTCATCAGAGCCAAGATGAGGCATTTGTGTGTCCTGGAAAGGTGTGAAAACCATGTATGTTGACATCTGAAAATTGTGCCCCTTATATTATTGTCTATCAAAGGCCTTTAGCCTTCATGATAAGAGTTGATAGAGACTAAACCTGTGACTTCACTCATATAGGCAGTTCCCTATGCAGGTTAGCATTGTCTCTGTGACTTATCTTCTTAGAAAGCTGTCTGAGACACTGAGAGCTAAAGTGATTTGTTTAGGGCCACAAAGACAGTCTGCAGCAGAGACAGGACATGAACCAGGTTTCCTGACTTTGGTGCCAGTTCTGTATTCATTCATTGACCCATGCTGCCTCCAAAATACACAGGACCTGTCACAAAATAACTATATAGTAGAGAATAGGAATTTTCTGGAATTAAGATGTGCATTTTTTAAAAAAATATTAAGTCCAAAAATGTTTCTCCTTGCACTTCTGCCTATGTGTTATGCCCAAGGCAACTGTTTAATATTCTCTACCATTAGTCCTAGCTCTGGTAACACCAAAAACAGCATTAAATGCAGTTTTTAAAAGGGGGAGAAGGACTATTAGGTGGGGAGTGGAAGGAGGACTACCCTAACAAATAAGAATACAATAAATATTACAAAGGATAACTTCAGGGTCTGTCTCTGATGGAAGACCTAAGGGGGCAAAGGAGGGGAAGGCTAGGGTTGTCTGATTGGAATGAATTCTCTAAGGTTATTATATGCTAAAGTAAGACCACATTTTATTCTCAAATTACCCACTAGATCCCTGCCTTCCCCAAGATTCTTGGATTTGGTTGCAAGTCTGTGTTCACACCATGTCTTTAAAGCTTTGATCCCATTTATTTCTCTGCCTATAAGCTCTGTGAGAGCAGAGAGCATGTCTGATTATTTTGGCATTTCTCCTAGTGCCTAACACACATAGTAAGTGTTTACTAAATTGTCGAATGAATGAATGAATGCATGCTTTTCTCCAGATTGTAGAATACTAATCATTTTCATTTCTCCCTAACCCAAAACATTTCTCCCTAACCCAGAACTGATAAAATCACAGATCCTATCAAAAACTAGACCAAAAAACCTCATATTTTAATCTGCTCATACCTATGATCATTTTAGTTGTTCTTTGGTCTATGTAGCAGGGGCATGGACCACATCTACAATGTTATCCCAGTAGGGCTATGCCATGAGTTGGTGGAAAACTATGATTTTGTTTTCTTTCCACCAATAGTATACATATATATACATACATACATATATATATACACACACACACATATATATACATACATACATATACATTCATAAATTACTGAAGATTCAATAGTCACATTTTTCATCTTTGTGATCTGGAGAACAGATCCAAATATGGAACAACAAACAAATAAATTACTTGTCTGTAAGCAAGGAAGAGGACCCATCATAAAGTTTAATTAATGTTTGCAAAGCATTTAAATTCCTCAGGTCAAAGTTCATGAGCAACTATCAGTTATTATCAGCAAGTCTGGTCCTGCTCAGGAGAAGGAACACATTCTTTAAGTCACTAAGATGCCACAGAGAAAAAAATCCCTCATTGATCATTAAAATAGGATCCTAGTGACTGGATAACCACTTTGTCCAAAGAAAGCTTCTAATTGTCTTCTCCTACCCAACTCTCTCTCTCTCTCTCTCTTTTTATATATGTATATATATTTATATATATATATGTGTGTATATATATATATATATATATATATAGTCCTATATATCTTTTCCCATATTCTCATATTGAAATAAGTATCATAGACAAATGGCCATATTTAGCACTACAGAGCTGACTCTTCATTTTGATGAAATAAGACACAGAGCCATAGACATGGTACCAGATGAGAGAACTAAAACCTGGGCCCAACATTCTGCCATTCAGTTACCTCTGCCTGCCCCTGAAATTTCCACAATTAAAGCCATAATGGATTAGATAACAACAATGAGGCTGGCATCTCCAGAAGACTACAGCAATTCAATTGACTGTCTTCAGAGTGGACTGAGAGCCCTCTGACATTAGCACTAATTAATAGATCAGATCAGCCAGTTGTCACCTGAGGCCCAAGAGGGTAAGGAAGATACACAGGCAGAACATGGCAAGGACAAGATCTGAGGCTGGAAACTAGAGAGAGGGATAATCTGAATTTCCTAAGCCAAGGAGGTGGGGAGAGATCCTCAGCTTAGAAGGTATACAGGATGGGCACCAAAGAGAAGACAGAAGCAGACTTCTGAAAGAAGAAAAGGTAAGGAATTTAAAGACAAGACCTTTGGCCAACTCTTGAGGGATTTATGCAATTAAAATTCTTAAGAGAATCCTTCTATAGTTTTTGGCAGTGAGTATGACCAAAAATATCTGCAAATGGCATTTCTAAGGCAAATTAGACATTATTTTCACAACTGATATGGGCTTCAATTCTAACAGTCACAGAATTCAGTTTACCTTTTCTTATAGATAACCAATGATCACAGAATCTGAAATAAGAATTTGCAGTCATCCAAATGGATGATACCATTGTCCTAAATTTTTATAGGACTGTAGATTTAGAACTTGAAGTGACCTTGGAAGTGATTTAATCCAACTCTTTCAATTCTGCAGATGAGGAAATTAAGACTCAAAGAGGTTAGATGACTTACCCAAAGTCACACAGTTACTAAGTGGCAGATTTCAGATCTAAATTTATTCCCTAAGTTCAAATTCAATACCTTTTTCCACTGCATCACGTTGCATTCTTTATTTTTGTCTTCAAGTGCTACTTGTTGCTGTCGTCTACCATTCTGACATGTGTAAGAGGCTTAACACAAACAAAAAGTGTTGGATGTTCCAGCTTTGCATTGAAACCTCACAGCCAATTCCTGATATCCTCTGAGGAAGTAGTATTATTATCTTGCCAATGGCCTACCTGTTCTTGCTTCAGATCCATTAGGATTCGGTGCTGTTTCTCAGTCATTAAGCTGTGGTCTCTTTTGTTCCCCAGATACCTAGAATTAGTGAAAATGGCAAAAATTATCATAACATTCCAAACATGTCATTCTAAAAACAGTGGCTTCCAGATGCTAGTTTTATTGTAAAATCTCAATTATTCAAGTCAATAGCATGAGGCACAGATAATAAAAAATTACTAATATTTGCCTTTGGAATGCATTATCTGTTTTCTTCCCAGTGGCTTTAAGCATTCCTGATTCTGTTTGACTGTACCTAGATGGCAGAAGCAGGGAAGCAGTCAAAAACTTCTCTGGAAATAATTTGGAAAGGATAACTTGAAAATGACTACATTTATTTTAGTTAGCTCTAGTCCAGTTGTCTTAGACTAGACCACATATATAAAGAGAACAAGCTCATAAGTTCTATCTCTGTTTAGGCCAGTTAACTTCACAAAGAGAAAAATTCTGTTCCCTAGCCAAAGACTGAGCTCTAACCCTAAACCTACCACCAGGTTTGATCAGGGGAAAGCCTTGAACAGTCTAATCACATTCTTCCCTCAGCAGACTTGATAATCCAGCCATTGATAATCTATCTGGAATCATTTCTCAATGGTCAGCATACTCCCTCAACCCTAACTTCAAATGTCCCACCCCATAGCTGCCTATCCCTTTCATTATACTCTTTGAAAGACCCATTCAAAGAAGTTAACAAGCTTGCTTTCATTTAAAATCTTTCCTTTTCTCACTCCCTTCATTTTCTGGCTCTCGCTGAGACCTGAAATCCTTGGCCACCCAGGAACAGTTGAACCTTTCCTGATACTTCTTGACTCCTTGAGGACTCAATATACTCTTTGCTCCCCATTGTCACTTCTAGACTCTCCTCCGTTGAAGTTCATTCAATCCAAATTTATTATCTAATTAAGATTCTGGTTACTATTATCTACCAAATCCCAGGACTCTCTCCCTACCATCCTCAATGAGTTCAGTGGCTGGCTATCATAGTCAGTCTCTCTATCTGTCTCTGTCTCTCTCCTTCAGCCCAATTCCTGATGAGAGGGGGTTCAACATATATATTCTTCCTTAAAAACCCTTCAAACACCCTAAACCGTCTACATCCTCAATCTACTCATTTTCCATGACCTACTCCTTCACTCTATCATCCCTTCCATACAGAGATGATCATACTCTTGATCTGGCCATATTTTATCATTCTACCTTTTTCTCTGCTTTGCGACTCCTATTCTTCATCTTCACCAAGACCTCCAATCTCTTCACCCCTTAGTTCTTTCCTAGGCTATCCCTCATGCAGTGGCTACACTCTCTTCTCTTCCCTATCTTGACCCCTTAGAGAACTAGTTCAACTCAATCCTATCACCTCTAAGTTTGAGTCCCCTGTCCCCTTATCCTATTGTGACTTGCCAAGTTCTGGCTTTGGAATGTCTTGCCATCTACTGTCATTGTTCCTATTCATGTGCTGATGAATAGAGCTAGAAAAAAGTATGAAACTGGGCTATGTCCAATACAAATTTATGTTACATAATTTCATCTAAACCTTCACGGCAGCACGACAATCTTTTTACATCTCCATAATCAATGCGTTATTCCACTCACCACAGTAACTATTCCAAACCTTTTCAACCCTCTGCAAGTCTCCCATGCACACTTTTCCCCCATCCCTCGATAAAGGACATTACTTCATACTGCAAAACTGGAACCATTCATTAAGAGTTCCTTCTTCTCTTTTCCTCTTTTTCTCATCTTATATCACTCAGATATCTTCCCCCACTATCTCTTCTGTCACCCCATCTCATACAAAAGGTATCCCTGTTCTCTTTCTCTTCTTTGCCAAAACAAATTCTTCTACATGTCCCCAGATCCAATTCCATCCTCTTTTCTCCAGCAGATTGCCCCCTCTATAATCCTCACTATAACCTCTCATTAATTTTTAAATTCAATTTTATTTTCAGCTCTGCTGCAGTCATTCCCTTCCTACTTCTCCTCCCCACCTTTGAGAAAGCAAGAAAAACAAAAGAGATTACAAACATATAAAGTCAAGCAAAAAAATTCCTGCATTGGGATATAAAATAAACCCACATAAATAATTGGCATTTCCATATATTACTAACAAAGCCCAACAGCAAGAGATAGAAAGAGAAATTCCATTTAAAGTTACTGTAGACATCATAAAATATTTGGGAGTCTACCTGCCAAGACAAACCCAGGAACTATATGAATACAATTATGAAACACTTTTCACACAAATAAAGTCAGATCTAAATAATTGGAAAAACATCAGTTGCTCATGGGTAGGCGAAGCTAATATAATAAAAATGATGATTCTACCTAAATTAATTTACTTATTTAGTGCTATACCAATCAAACTACTAAGAATTATTTTATAGAACTAGAAAAAATAATAACAAAATTCATCTGGAAGCACAAAAGTTCCAGAATAGCAAGGGAATTAATGAAAAGAAAATGCAAGGGAAGGTACCCTAGTTTACCAGATCTTAAAATGTATCAAAAAGAAGGAATCACTCAAAACCACTTGGTACTGGCTAAGAAATAGAGTGGTGGATTAGTGGAATAGGTTAGGTACACAAGACAGAGTAGTCAATAACTATAGTAATCTACTATTTGATAAACCCAAAGACTCTAGCTTCTGGGATAAGAAATCACTATTGAACAAAAACTGCTGGGAAAACTGGAAAACAGTATGGCAGAAACTAGACTATGTCAGCATCTTACACCATATACCAAGATAAAGTAAAGATGGGTACAGTATTTAGATATAAAGGCTGATACTATAAGCAAACTAGGAGAGCAAGGAATAGTTTACCTGTAAGATTTATGAAGAACAGAAGAATTTATGACCAAATAAGATCTTGATAGAGAACATTAGGAAATGCAAAATGGATAATTTTGATTACATTAAATGGAAAAGTTTTTGCATGAACAAAGTGAATGCAACCAAGATTAGAAGTGAAGCAGAAAGGTGGGAAACAATTTTTACAGTCAGTGCCTCTGATAAGGGCCTCATTTCTAAAATACATAGAGAACTGAGTCAAATTTATAAGAATACAAGTCATTCCCCAATTGATAAATGGTCAAAGGATATGAATAGGCAGTTTTCAGATGAAGAAATTAAAGTTATCTATAATCACATGAAAAAAATGTTCCAAATTACTATTGATTAGAGAAATGCAAATCAAAACAACTCTGAGGTACCACAGCACACCTGTCAGATTGGCTAACATGACAAAGAAGGAAAATGATAAATGTTGGAGAAAATGTGAGAAAATTGGAACACTAATGCATTGTTGGTGGAATTATGAACTGATCCAACTGTTCTGGAGAGCAATTTGGCACTATGCCTACAGAGCTCTCAAACTATGCATACCCTTTGACCCAGCAATACCACTTCTAGGTCTGTATCCCAAAGAGATCATAAAAATGGGAAAAGGACCCACCTGTACAAAAATATTTATAGCAGCTCTTTTTGTTGTGGTAAAGAATTAGAAATTGAGGGGATGCCCATCAATTGGGGAATGACTGAACAAGTAGTGGTATATGAATGTAATGGAATACTACTGTGCTCTAAGAAATGATGAGCAGGCAGACTTCAGAAAAACCTGAAAAGAATTCCATGAACTGATGCTAAGTGAAGTGAGCAGAACCAAAAGAACATTGTACACAGTAACAGCCACACTGTGTGATGACTAACTCTGATAGACTTATCTCTTCTTAGCAATGCAAGGATCTAAGACAACTCCAAAAGATTGATGAGGGAAAATGCTATCCACACCCCCCAAAAAAAAAAGAAATATGGAGTCTGAATGCAGATCGAAGCATACTATTTGCTCTCTTTCTTTTTTTTTTTTTGGTTTCTTTTTTCTTGTGGTTCCTTCCATTGGTTCTAATTCTTCTTTACAACACAACTAATGTGAAAATAGGTTCAATATAAATGTATATGTAGAGCCTATATCAGATTGCACACCGTCTTGGGGTGGGGAAAGGGTAGGGAGGGGAGAAAATTTGGAACTCAAAATCTTATAGAAGTGAATGTGGAAAACTAAAAATAAACAAATTAATATTTTTTTAAATCCCTGCATTGGCTCTATCAGTTATACATACATACATACATACATACACACACACACATACATATACCTATATATATACATACATAAATACTTATACCTATATATATATACCTAAAATAGATATAATATACATATACCTAAAAACATGCTCTCCCACCTTAAAAAAAAACCTTCACTTGATCCAACCATCCCCCACTATTATCCATTATCCTATGTCTCCCCTCCTTTTCTTAGCTAAACTACTTTAAAAAGCCATATACAATTGGTGCCTCTGCTTCCTCTCCTCTCACTTTTCTAATCCTGATGCAGCCTGACTTCGAACTTCATCATTCTAATGAAATTACTCATTCTAAAGTTACTAATCATCTCTTAATTGACAACTCTAATTCTCATTCGTTATACTTTTTTCATTCCTTACACCTGCACGATCTCTCTGAAACCTTCGGCACTATTGATCACCCGCTTCTAGATACACTTTCCTCTCTAGATTTTTATAATAATGCTCTTTCCTGCTTTTCCTCCTACTCATGTGACCTCTCCCCTCAGTATCCTTTGTTGGATCTTCATTCAGATCACACCACTAACTCTGTTCCAGAGTGTCCTTGGCTCTTTCCTCTTTTCCCTCTATATTATCTCTCTTGAGCTGTCATGGATTCAGTTATAATCTCCAAGCAGATGATCCCCAGATCAATTTCTCCAGCCCTAATTTCTCTGCTGACTTCTAGTCTACCATCACCAACTGCCTATTGGATATTCAAAATTGAATTTCTCATAGATATCTTAAACTCAACATATTCAAAACTAAACTCAGTATCTTTCTGCCAAAACCCTTCCCTCTTCCAAACTTTGCTATTGCTATTGATGACATCACCATCTTCCCAGTCACCCAGGCTTAAAACCTAGATATTATCCTCAACTCTTAATTTTCACTGACTCTACATATCCAATCTGCTGCCAAGTCCTATCAATTTTATCTTTGTAACATCTCTCATACATGTCACCTTCTCTCTATTTACATCACAATTATCACCTCCTGCCTGGACTATTGCAGTATTCTGACAGTTGTTCTCCCTGTCTCAGATCTCTTCTCATTCTAATCCATCCTCCACTCATCTGCCAAAGTGATCTTCCTAAAGCACAGGTCAATCAGGTCACCTCCCCTCTTTCCATCAACTCCAGTGGCTCCCTATTACCTCTAGAATAGAATATAAAATGCTCAGTTTGGCTTTTAAAGACCTTCACTACCTGACTTTTTCCTATCTTTCCAGTCTTCTTACACTTCACTTCCTTCCACATACTCTATGATCTAGTGTCACTGGTCTTTTAGCTATTCCTCACATATTCCAACTCCATGCCTTTTCTTGCACTCCCTGTGTGCCCCTGCCTCCTTCCTCCCCCGGAATGCTCTCCTCCCTTGCCTCTGCCTCCTGGCATCTTTCAAGACTCAGCTCAGATTGCACCTTCTACAAGAAACCTTTCCTGGTTTCTCTCACTCCCCCCCCCCCCAATATTAGTGCCTTCCCTGTAAGATTATCTCCCATTTATACTGTATAAATCTTAAATGTAAATAGTTGTGTGTATATTATCTCCCCCACAAGAATGTGAGCTCCCTGAGGGCAGGGATTATATTTTTGCCTTTCTTTGTATCACCAGCATTTAAACTCAGTCCCTGACACATAATAAAGACTTAATAAATGCTTGTTGATTGAGTGACTGACCAAGCCCCTTTTCCTCCCACCACAGGATTAACTACCCACAACTCTGGTCACTGATTAACTAAGCCAAGCACTGGAGTGTGTGAGTGCACGTTCACAAGTTTGCTAGCATACACACATACACACACACACACACACACACACACACACACACACGCACACACGCACACACATACACAAAATCTCCGCCCAGCCATCTCACAAATACTCTGAGTCATGAGGCACACTAGGCAAGAAGGTATAAATGAGCTCAGCTCAATGTAGTTTTACCCCCATTGCTAGGGGCTAGAGCTTGGACACTACATCTAAGCTGAATCAGAGACATCATCTTTATATTTGAAGGACAAGATACTTTTGAATTACATTTATAGATTTTTCTCCCTTTAAAAATGCTGTTTCAGTTAGCTTATCATTGAATCTTCTATAAATGATAAAGCCTAAACAGAGGCAAATCCTTGGCCAAAAGGCTGAGTCCAGATGATCTTTAGTGTGCCCTCTAGAGCTAAATTCTTAGAATACATACTGGAATAGACAGGTGGAAAGACAATGAGGCATGTTCTCAGATTTAAGTAAAGATTAGCTCACGCTTTCTGTTGTTCTAGCCGTGACAATTCAGTTGTAACTTTCTCCTCTAGGGCTTTCTCCCGGAGCTTAAGGAGGGCTGTCTGGTACTGAGCTCTGAGTTCTTCTTCCCTTAAGTACTGATCAGTCATCCTCAGGTTGAAACGGTCGAAGAGACTAGACTGATTGATTTCATTCCTCTAGAAGCAATGGAAGAAGAGATTTATGTCATTTTCCAAGTGACCAAAAGAAGTGTCTCAGGGCTACCCTCAGAAATAAGTCCCCTCCCTTTAAGATGTGAAATGTGTACTTCTAGAAGGTCCAACAAAGCCCCAAGTACTTCTCTGTCCTGAAGTTGTACCATCATCAGAATTACTAATAGATTAGACAACCAAGGTAGAGTCATGATCTCCAGAAAACCTCTATCAAAATATCTGAGAGAAGAAAGCCTATCCCTCTGCCACTAGACAAGTTAGTTTACTTTCACCTTTAAAGACACAGGAAGCCACACCCCTGAAATGAGGGAATTAGAGGATAGGCAACAAGCCTAGGAAGGTGGTAGGATAGTATTAATCCAGGGTTTAGAGGCTCCTAAGGGTAGCCCCTGAGAAGAGGTTCAGGTATGAAGGGTAGGAGACACAGAGAAATAAAAGGCACTGAGGATTGGAACAATGGATGTGAAGTAATACCTGCAAGAGAAATACAATTATTGGAATCTGGTCCTGAGGCTACTCTCATACCTGACTGCTGTCCATGAGGTCTTCTCTAGAGAATACTGTGCTACTTGGGTAACCAGCAGCTGATGGGGACCACGTAGTGAAGTGGGGTGGTGTGGTACTGTCTTGCTTCCCTCTTCCCCTATCAGCATCTAAGAACAGAAAGCATCCAATCCAGCCTGTGTCAATGAGTGCTGTACCAGAATGATGGGTGAGATTGGGGGGGGGAAGCTTCATTTCATTTGGAACTTTTATAGAATATAAGGCATAAAAGTTAAGATTAAACTTGGGCAATTTGGCTGGGTGCTTCTCTTCTACATAGACCATTAGCGTTCACCCGAAGCAGCCAATGTTTCCATCATTCCAAAAACTCTAGAGAAATGGAATAATGCCACTAGAAATCCAGATTATATAAAAACAACTTCACTTTTTGGTACAAAAATATTTGGATTTTTGATTAAATATGTCCAACATTTGGATTAGCCTCATCATAGCAGGCACATCAGGAAAAGTTTGCCAAAGTGACATGAATGAGGAAATGTTGAGGAATGGGAGTAAAATAAGTATGAAGATTGAACTGATTACAGATTTAAAGGACTATTAAAAAATAATGTTTATCCTTTGATTCCCATCTTCACTCAAGACACAACAGACAATGGCCATTACAGCAAGAGAGTTGAGCTAAACATAGGGAAGTACTTATCAATTATGATCACATCTCCATTCTTGAAGTCTTTAAAAATAGGCTAAACCAAATGTCCTTAAGGGTTTAAGTGTTATCCTGTTTAGAGATAGGGGCCTAGCCCTGAACTTTTGAACTTTTTACGATGCTTAGGTTCTAATGTAATACTTATAAAAGAGGCTGACTCTATACCTTTGCTCTAAGGTATTCCTAATGTTTATCCTTTTTTGGGGGGGGAGGCTATAATACAAAATAGTTTCTTCCAGCCTGGTTATATAGTTTGTGAAAATGGAGATCAACTTCGTATCTGTCCTTTCAGTGCCTACAGCTGGCACAGTAACCAACAGACATAAAGATCAATATTATGATAGCCTCAAAGGATCTTACCTATGCCATCCAATACATTTCTCCTTGGCTCACTTTCCCAAGTAGGAACTGTTGGACTATTGGCTCTGCTGGAATATGTTCTAGGAACACAGAAATAGTAATAAAAAAAGTACACAGGTAATTTCTTGATATCCTGTCACAGCACACACATGACATGCACATACCATTTATGTTTTGGAGAGTGACATCCTCTACTTAAGTAGTCAGGAATAGGCTTATGCCCTAAAAGAGGGACAAGCTTCAGCTCTGATTCTCCTGCTGATAGGCCAGCTTGGCTGAATCCCACATGGTACAGGCTAGGGCCAGTACTGCATGCAGGCAGAGCAAGGGGGATGCCAACACAATGCTATGAGATATGTCATTGCTTAGGTCAAATCATTTGTTTGGATTTGGGAGTGATGAACAAATCCCCTGTGCATTATCATACCTGCCCATAGTTGATAGCCTTGTTAGATAATCTATGGACTCCAAGTCTCCATACGTCTTTGGCATCTTCCATTTTTCTGCTTTATCATCTAGTTCAGTTCTAAGGATGTGGCTGTCATGAAAAGATTGCTGAAATAACAACAAGAGCAATAATGACACACTTTAAAATTTATCACAAAATGACACACAAAATTTATCACAAATGTGTGATAAAGGAAATGAAAATGTTATTATTAGTCCCATTTTACAGCTTGAAAATAATACGAGCTCAGAAAGGTTAAGTGAGTTGGCCCAGGTCACAGAGCTAAGTAAGTGTTGGAGGCAGGGTTTAGAGCTAGGTCTTCCTAAATTCATTACTCTTTCTATTACACTAAATACAGGCATTTGTAAGAAATCAGGAGGAGGACATTTTATGAGTTACTTCATGTAGCTGGCCCAAGGCCTTTGACAGCACTTAAGGAAATAACATATCTGGAGGAAATGAGGGTGAGACTACAACTAAGGTGATCATAGTTTATTCAACTTAATCTTTTTTTCTTTCTAAATTTTTTTCAAACAATTCTTATTTCCATTGTTGTTATTTCCCAATAAAACCCTCATAGAACTCTCTTTAAGCACAACAAACCAATACATTGACCATGTGTTTGACTATATTTGCTTCATTCTGTGCCCATAGTCCACCAGCTCTCTGCTCATCATCAGTCTTCTGAAGTCAAGATTGGTCATTGAATTGATTTAAACTTTGATTTGACCCATAGTCTTTCATCAAATATGTATCCAAATGGAGTTTTCATTTGTCTGCTGTCTACAACAAACAACAATTAGTAAATTTGTTATGTTTTGGTTAACGTATCTATTCCCAGAGATATATTTCAAATAGATATGTAAATATACATATAAATATATAATGAACTAGAAAATCATTAGTAAACATAAACATTTCTATGTACAATGAAGGCCAGAAAAAAACATTACATATGTAACCATAAATCTATTGTATAAAGCTTTTAAATATATATATAGTTTACATGTGGCATATATATAACTATATATGTGTATATATATACATATATATGTAACTATATATATGTATATATACTATATTGCATTGGAGTCAAAATGGCAGAATGAGAAGAAGCCTAGCTTGCAACTATCCTTTCTCCATAATGATCTAGAAACACAGTAGTCTGGATTCTGATTGGGAAAGTCAAGAAAAAAATCACAGTGAGTTATTTTTCCAACCCAGAATAACTTAGGGAGTCAGACGGGTCTGCAGACACTGAAGATGGAGAGTGGCTGGGGCACACATAGCATGGAGCATTCCAGTGCCCAGGGAGAGAAAGAGGCCTGATACAAGGGCATCAGGGAAAAAAAGTATCAGGACAGAAAGAGATCCTAGGGTGTCCCTGAACTAACACTGGGTACAGGAATGGGTGCTATCTGGCAGTTCTGTTGCCCACTACCAGTTTCAGATCACAGATCCAGAGCAAAGGAGTGTTTAGGAGCATGGGCTCTAGCTATGTAGTGAGCAAGAAACAAGTTCTGAAAATGTAGGTATGTGGTTCTGATCCCAAGAGCAGAGTGGTGACTCATTTCTATCCGTTAGCCTGATATCCACGCCTGTAATGGTCTAATCAGGACAGAAATCTCAGACCAAAGGGGAGCCAACAGTTCATCACTCTGAACCTGTAGAGCCTCTCAAAGGCCTAACAGTGACTGAGTCCAGCAGCAGTCTACTGAAATTCTCAAACCCACACAAACTAACACATCCAACCTGAGTCAGTAACTTGCAAATCTCAGACCAGGATGTTAGTGAATAGACTTCTTCCTGGATCACACTACTTTGGGAGCACTGAAAGCTCACAGGCCCCTACACTGAGCTATGAAAGTAGCAAAAGGATCTGCAAGGACAGAAGCTCAATCCAGATATACTCCCCACCCCCAAAATATGCAGAGCCCAGCACTAATAAAGTCCAAAGTCAAGAAGAAGGCTGGAAGAATGAGCAAACAAAAAAAAAATCCCAACATAAAGAACTCCTGTGGTTGACAAATTTAAGATACAAACATTTCTGTGAAAATGACTTGAGGGGCAGCTAGGTAGTACAATGGGGCAGCTAGGTGGCTCAATGGATACAGCTCCAGACTTGGAGTCAGGAGGACCTAAGTTCAAATCTGGCCTCAGACACTTGACACTTACTAGCTGTGTGACCCTCGGCAAGTCACTTAACCCCAACTGCCTCATCAAAAAAAAAGAGAAAAAAAAGAGAAAAAAAGAAAATGACTTGAAAATACCTATAAGCCAAAGCCTCAAAGAAAAGTGCAGCTTGGACACAAGTTCAACAGGAATTCCTAGAAAAGTTTGGGTTTGTTTTTTTTTTAAAAAAGGAGTTAAAAATTATTTAAAAAAACAAATGAGAGCTATGGAAGAAAGATATGAAGAGAGAATTAATAACTAGGGGGGAAAGATATGTAGAACCTTATTGAAGAAAATAAATCCTAGAAAATAGATTGATTGGAGATGATTTAAGAATCATTGGACTACCTGAAATCTATAATAAAAAAAAAGAGCCCTGACATCATATTTCAGGAAATCATAAAAGAAAACTGCCCAGATATCTTGGAACCAGAGGACAAAGTAGACACTGAAAGACTCCACCAGTCACCTCCTTTAAAGGTAACCTACCTAGCAAAATAGTATAATCTTATGGGGGTGGAGTGGATTTTTAATGAAATAGGGAATATCCAAGCATTCCTGATGAAAAGAACTGAATAGAAAATTTGACAAGCAAACATAGTAGTGACGAGAAATATTAAAAAAAAGGTAAACATGAATGAGAAATCATAAGGGACTAAATAAGGTTAAACTATTTACATTCTTATATGGGGAAATGATACATATAACTCTTCAGAACTTGATAATCACATGGAGTCTTAGAGGGAGTCTAATTAGACAGAAGGCCTGGGTATGATTCTTTTATGTTTGGATGATCTTAAAAGAAGAATGGATGGACAAGGAAAAGAAATGCACTAGGAGGCGGTGAAGTGGAGGAAGAATGGGGAAAATTATCTCACATAAACAGGATGCACAAGAAGGAGTTTAGATAACAGAGGGAGCAGTGGGATGGGGCAGGCAACACTTGAACCTCACTGTCATATGAAATGGTTAAAGCAGGAAAGAATACATGTACACACAATTTGGTACAAAACTACATCTTACCAACAGGGAATAGAAGAGAAAGGGAACTAAGGAAAAGGAGGGGGTGAGTGGGAATAAGAGATTAAGTGGATTAAGGGAGGAGTAGTCAGAATCAAAACAAACTCTTGAAAGGGGACTGGGGAAAAAAGAGAAGGAAAGAATAAGAGAACTGAATGAAGGGAAATACACAATTAGCAATCATAACTGTGAATGTGAATGGGATGAACTCACCCATAAAATGAAAGAGGATAACAGAATGGATTAGAAACCAAAATCCAATAATAATGTTGTTTACAAGAAACACACTTGAAACACACAAAGATAGACATAGAGTTAAAAAATAGGAACTAGAACAAAACCTACTACATTTCTGACATTAAAAAATGGAAGATTAGCACTCATGATCTCAAAGCAAAAACAGACATAATTAAAAGAGAGAAATGGGGAACATACATTTTGCTAAAAGGTACCATAGACAGTGAATTAATATCAATACTAAATATACATGTACCAAATGGCATAGCACCTAATTTTTTTTAAAATATAGACTATATTTTTATAATCTATCACATTAAATATAGTGATATCACCAACATTGCCCTGGTATTTCTGTGCTTTCTTCATTCTATTTGTTCTTTTCTTCTTTTTGTCATTATCTTTTTGCAACACAATGTCTGGCACATAGTAAGTGCTTAATAGATTCTTTATCTATCTGTCTCTTATCTGTCTACTATCACTACCTCCTAAATCTATCCCTTAACTCCCTTCCTAAATAAAAGCCCTCCCTTGTAACAAATAAGGATAGACAAAACAAACTTGCATTGTTATGTCGTGTGTAATCACATTATATTGGTCATGTCTGAAAATTATGTCTCATTCTGCTCTTAAAATAATAATAATAACTAGCATTTGTATAGTGCTTTAAATTTTGCAAAGCATTTTTAACAGCATTTTCATTTGATCCTCCCAACAACCTTTGGAGGTAGGTGCTATTATAATCCTTAGTTTATAGATAAAGAAACTGAGGCTGAGAGAGGTTAAGTGACTTGCCGAGGGTCATACAACTAGTAAGTATCTTGAACTCAGGACTCCTTGACTCCAAGTCCAGCACCCTATCCACTACACTACCTAGCTGCCCAATCTATCCACCTATCCACTAAGAAGTAAGAAAGAGGAGGTATGTTTAATGATCAGTTTTCTGGATTTGTGATTGATCATTTCAATGATCAGAGTTAGTTAAGTCTTTGAAAGTTGTTTTATCTGTATTGTTGTAGTCCTTGAGTAAATAATTCTTCTGGTTCCATTTGTTTCATACATTATCGGTTCATATGTGTCTTTCCGAGTTTCTCTAAATCCATCTCTTTCATCATTTCTTACAGAGCAGTAATATTCCACTAAATCATACACCATAGTCTCTTTTTAAAAATATATTTTCATTTATTTTGTTAAATATTTTCTAATTACATTAAAAAAATTTTAACATTTATTTTTTAAAATTTTGAAATCTAAATTTTCTCTCTCCCTCCTGCTCAACCCCATTGATTAAGAAGGCAAGAAATACATTAATTATACATGTGAAGTCATGCAAAATATATTTCCATATTAGTCATTTAAAAAAACACAAAAGCAAGAAAATAAGTGAAAAAAAGTATGCTTCAATCTGTACTTAAGAGTTCATTTGTATTCTCTCTGGAGGTGGATAGCATTTTTATCACTGGTCCTTTGGAATTGTCCTGGATCATTGTCTTGATCAGAGCAGCTAAGTCTTTCATAGTTGATCATCATTACAATATTGTTGTTACTATGTACAAAGTTCTGGTTCTGCTCACTTCACTTTGTATTAGTTCATATGTCTTCTCAGGTTTTTCTGAAATCATCCTGCTTACTGTTTCTTATAGCACAACAGTATTCCATCACAATCATATACCACAAC